TACTCCCTGAAGCATGCACACACCCCCTTTGCTTTTCCTTGTTGTTTTTGGCCATGCAGGGCCTAGCTAGTTGTGTGGATGCACCAGCCTGGTTCCAAGTACTGACGGTTCCTGGGAATGCAGTGGTGGGACAGGGAAGGAATACAGAGCAGCCTTGGCTTTAGGCGGGAGGCTCTAGGTTGCAACGTCTCTGGAGTGTGACTGAGTCTCCCCTGACTCCCATGCCTTTTACTCTTAGTTCTTATGGGAAAATGCTCATTCTTCATGGGGTTTTTAAATGTCCAGGGCCTTCTAAAACATTATAAACTCCATAAATCAAGTACTGTGTGGTATAACAAAAAATGTCATCTCTGCCCCTGGTTCCTTTCACAGAAGTCTTAAACCCTTGTCATTTCCTAAGTAATCGTGGTGCTAGGAGCTTCTTTTGCTATTATATTTGGTCTCAGTTCTGAGTCCCTGACACCAGCTTTTAGAATCCTTGGAATCTCCAGAGCAAGGAGGAGGGTCTTTTTGCAAGTTAATGAGGCAGCTAGTGGCTGGACATACCTAGAGAGCTTCAGGATGGGGGCTAGAGGAATCAGCCCCGTGACTGGAGGATTGTTTAAACCCCAACCCCCTGAAAAAGGGAAGAGGGAGTGGGGTTGAATTAATCACCGGTATTCAATGATTGAATTAATCGTGCCTATGTAATGGAACCTCCATAAAACCCCTAAATGTCAGAGAGTTTCTGGCTTGGTGACCACATGGAGGTGCTGGGAGGGTGACCCATCCCTAGACAGCATGGAAGCTGCACCTGTACTCCCTGCCTTCATGAACTTGCTTTATCCATCTCTTCCATTTGGCTCTTCCCGAGATTTATCTTTTCTAATAAACCAGTAATAGCAAGTAAAGCACTTGTCTGAGTTCTGTGAGCTGTTCTAGCAAAGTATCGAACCTGAGGAGGAGGTCATGGGAACCTTGAATTTATAGCTGGTTGGTCCGTCTGGAGTAGGGAGGCCTGGATTTGTGATTGGAGTCTGAAGGGGGAGGCAGGGTGCAGTGTGGACTGAGCCTTTATCTGTGGAGTCTGTGCCAGCTTGGGGGAAGTTAGTGTCAGTAGTATTGTGAGTACAGAAGCAGCTTTCTTCTAGTTGATGTTTTTCCTTTAGGAACCCAAATCATTTTTGCACATCACTTCATCTGTAATGCCGTAGTATGGCTGTGTTAAAAGATGAATCAATAAGCAGATCTGACTCTAACAGGTCAAACATCACTAGAAGTGGTGAAAAGGAGGTAACCTATTTCGTATTGAAGGCTGCATTTAAAGTTTGGACTTAGAATTGAACAGTGTGAACCAGATGACTAGTACATGTCAATGGTTTCTACTTAATTCTACCTAATTGAGAGTTTAATAAGGGATGCCATCTTAATTCTTAAGGATTCTGAATATACTTCTACAAAAAAAAGTTCTCTACATCTTATACTTTAAATATCATGACTAAAATGTGTCAGATTATTCTAAGCATGCAGACCTTTACAGTTTTATCCTGTTTTTTTTTCCTGATTAATAAAAGAACAGTACATCCTTTAGAAAGTTTGGAAAATACCAAAAAGCCTAAGGAAATAATTGCTTTTAATGCCACTCTCTGGAGATCATCATTTTAAAATTTTGGCCTTTGCCCCCTTGAAGGCTTTTCTTCGTGGAGATATCACAGCATGCACAATTGTCAATGCTGGTTTTGAAGCTTTCCTTAACTATGCAGTCTGCAGTCTGTAGTCTTCCATGTTACTGGAATTCCTTACACACATCATCCAAATGTCTCTAGCCCAGGTTTTCAAAGAATGGGCCTCAGGTCAGCAACATAGACGTTGCATGGGACCTGCAAATGCAGACCCACCCAGACACTCCTGGATCAAAGGTTTGGAGGTCGGTGGAGGATGCCCCGCAACCTGTGGTTTAATAAGCCCTCAGGTGAAGCTGATGCAAAGTAAGTTTGAGAACCACAGCCCTGGAGTCCTGCTCTGAGTCTACTCTTGGGAAATACAGACTTTTTTTTTTTTTTTTTTTTTTTGCAGTTGTGTTTTACAGAATCCTTTGTTCACATTTCTGAGTATTTCTTTAGAATAGAGTCATTAATCAAATGTGCAAGCAGTTAGTGAACGGGTGTGACACACACAGACCGAATCCTTCCCAGATGCAGACTGTAGCAGTTCCTACTCCTTCAAATAGAGCTTGAGAGGGTCCGTCTCACCACTGTGGCCCTTTTACATGGGCTTGTTCTTTACGTGCTTTTTCATAATACGTTATTTATATCTTTCATGTTGTCCTCTAGAGCTTTTTCTTTTCTTCTATTTTTTTTTGAGAGAAAGAGTACCCGCGAGTGGGGGACAGGGTGCAGAGGGAGAGAGAGAAAGAGAATCCTAAGTAGGCTCCGTGCTGGAGGGAGGGTGAAGCTGGATCTCATGACCCTGAGATCATGACCTGAGTTGAAATCAAGGGTCGATGGTGCCACCCATGGAGCCCCAGCCCCTGGCACCCCATAGCTTTATCTGATAGCAAGGCTGTGTTAAGGATACCATTTTTTGGTCTTTACATATTCTTTGTGATAATTTTAACTACAGATATTTTTCATTTGACCTGGTCAAGCCTATATATTTACTATTTATTTATTTATTATTATTTATTTATTCATTCATTCATTCATTTTTACTGTAACAGAGGTCTAAATAGCATTTTCAAAAGTGGTTAAACAATTTTCCCAGAATACTGTCAATGAATATTTTAATTGTAACTTTCATTTTCTCACCATGATTGCCTGTTTGATTTAACCCTAGCATCTGTGATATTCTAATTATTTCAGTATAGCAGGTGTGGTCCTTTTTAGTCCTGTGTTACAATGCAAAATAATTTCAGGGATTTTGTTCATTTTTTTTATAATGTAACAAGAGCTTAAAAACCTTAATTTCCTATTTGATGGGGAGAAAATTTCATTGTTCCTTTTGTAGGAGTGGTTCAATATATTTTTGTTCTGAATAAATTTAGCTTTTCCTTTCTCCATCATATTTGGACAAAAGCCTTTCTTAGACTGTATGTACAAAGCCTCTAAAGTTCACGCATTGTTCTACTTTAATTCACTTATAGGTTCAACAAGCTTTGAAAAATGAAAATAATGTTTATTACTTGACTTAATTTCACTTTATACAAAAGAATGAGTGGATGTAGACTTTGAGTTATCATGAAAAAAAATTGCAGGTTAATAGTAGGTCAGGAAGGAAGAAATAATCCAAGGGAAAAATCATGAAGAAGCCAACGAAAAGTATGATTTTTAGGTTGCTGTAGGATTGCAGGCAGCATCATGGGAATCAACAAACAAGCATTGGGCTTTAATTTCATCATTAGAGGGAAATCATGCTGTTCATCTGCCTTCTCCTGGCCCCTTCCTGCAGGAGAGAAGACCGGCAACCTTGCTGCCCCAGAGAGAGGGGGTGATGAGGACAGCTCCCAGGTTCTAATTTACTCCCCTTTCTGGCAACAGCACATATAAATTTAAAGATATATTTATTTATTTTGGAGAGAAAGAGAGTGGCCTGGAGGGATGGGGAGGAAAAGGAGAAGAGGGAGGGAGAGAACCTCCAGCAAACTCCCTGCTGAGCCTGGGAGCCCAAGTCAGGGCTCCATCTCACGACCTGAGATCATGACCTGAGCCAAGGTTGAGAGTCAGCTGCTTAACCGACTGAGCCACTGGGGTGCCCCTGGGAATACTGATGGGATTTTTTTTTCCCCTGGGAAGGAGCTCTGTGGGAGGCAGTGGGTGATGCATCTCATGGGCAGGAGGACATTTTAAAGATAAAATGCTTTCAGAACTCCTTGAGATCTCGCTTCAGAGGTGATGTTGCTCTAGTAGTTTATTGCTTATTTGAATATTACCTCATTGGAGTCTCACCAATGTTCTGTGATGTAATTAGAGCTGTCGACATTGTCATCACTTGACAGATGAAGAAAGGCATGGAGAAGAGGGTAAGGAACTGGCTGGAGGTCACACAGCTAAGGGGTGACAGAGCCAGGAAGAGAACTGCAGATTCCTGGATCATTGCTCTTCCCGCCTGAGCACTGAGTCGGAGTAACAGATTTTTTTCTGATCACTTCTTATCATTAACTCAGGTTGAGTAGAAAATATTTCTTAAATTATACTGTTGCATGAATATACTTAATATACCAGTCTTAAGAAGTAATCTTTATTTATGTACTCTTTTGATAGTTGGTTTTTTTCTACAAAAGATTTTATGTATGTGATTGGGAGCTCCTTAACGTGAAGGGATATCTGTCTCAAACAAGTAACTCTTTCTATTCTTGTTCTTTTTTTAAATTTTTAACTGAAGTATAGTTGACATATAATATTAGATGAGTTTCAGGTATACAGTATAGTGATTCAACAATTATATCCATTATGAAAAGTCACACAGTAAGTCTAGTTACCATCTGTCACCATAGAAATTATTACATCGTTGACTATATTCCATATGCTGTACTTTTCATCATTGTGGCTTATTTATTTTATAATTGGAAGTTTGTACCTCTTAATCCCCTTCACCTATTTATTTTTTTTAGAGGAAGGGGGAGGGACCAAGGGAGAAGGAGAATCTTAAGCAGGCTCCATGCTCAGAGCCAAGTGTGACATGTGACATGAGGCTCGATCTCATGACCCTGAGTCCAAATCAAGAGTTGGATGCTTAACTGATTGAGCCACCCAGGCACCCTTCCCTTCACCTATTTACTCTTGTTCTTCATAAGGTGTTAAACCTAGCTGAATCAAGAATTAATAAAAATCTATGAGGAGTCACAAATATTTAGAAGACTCTAAAGTAAAAATTATCTTTTTCCCTTAATTTCATCCAGTTTTTTTCATTGGGTTGTTTTGAATTGTTACTGTATTTGAGTAATGTTCCCTTTCCTCATTTTCCCACTTTTTTTCTGGCTTTAGCTGAATTCCTAATTCCTACTATATATTTTTTCCTCCTAGGTAAAACTGATAACCGATACATTCTCTTTGTGGCTGGAGGGGCAGTTTTATTGTTGCTGTTTGTTATCCTAATTACCACCATCATTGTCATTTCTTATAAAAGGTGAGTATTGCAATTCATCCTGACTCTTGCATTCTGATATGAGGGGCTCTCTATTAATGACCCAATAGTTGGCCAAGCTGTGTTAGCACTCACATACAGCATTTGGGGTTTTTTTTTCTTACAAAAAAGAAGAGAAGTAGTTGTGGTAATATCGAAGGAGAAAGCTAGAGTCATTTGTTTAAGAATTAATAGGAGCTGCTCTCAAGTTAGCACAGCTTTCATATTCTGGGCAGTCAACTGCCTGGTGCCTCTGCTCTGTCTGCTGTGCCATCTATCTTCCTCCTCCTGCATGGAAAAGAGGCGGTTGGGCAAGGGGCGGTGTGTGTGTGTGTGTGTGTGTGTGTGTGTGTGTGTGTGTGAGATGAGAGGCCAGAGGGAGAGAGGGAGGGCTTCTGAGAAGGGGAAGAAAAGCATTAAGCAGTAATAATGCCTTCATGCATTCCTTCATCAAATATCTATGGTGACAGTAGTGAATAAGACACGATATGAGCGCCCATTCTAGTAAACAAATACTTTTAAATGGTTGTTGTCTCTGAAACAAGCAGTGCTGGTGCTCTTCCTAAAAAATGATTGAGGAAGAAAGGTGTCGGAAGGGGCCACCTTAGAGAGAGTAGGTGGCCATTGACCTCTGCTAAAGTTTCCTACCTTCTACTGTCTTGTGGCCGACTTGGGAACTTTCTGGGATATTCTTGGTTTTACTCTGCCCTTTCTTACTGTCCCATATTCATTGACTCACTTGTCTAGGTATTTGTTGTAATATAATTACTCATTATTCCTGTGTTCCAACTAACATGTTCTCTTCTCAGGAAAGGGAAGGAGTACATCCATCTCCTCTTCTCTTCTGCCTCAGCAATAGTACCAAACACACATGCACACACACACTGGCATGTACATGCATCTTAGTAGGCTATCAGGTAGGTTTCTCTGTCTCGTCTTCTCGTCTCCATATCCTGACCTCTCCTCTTTGGAGGCTTGTATTACCACTCACTTGATACTAGTGAATGCTTCCAACCCACCCCCAGCTCCAGGTGTCTCTTCTTTTCCTAACACATCTGACTTTTCCTGGTTGCTCTTCTAAAAGCTAGACTGACCATGTCCTTCCCCTGTAAAACCTTTTATTGTCTTCCTATTGCCACCAGAATAATGTTAAAATTCATTAACCTTGCATCAGAGGCACCCATTGTTCTGACTTCCATCTAATTAGTGGGACCCCAATCTAATATTCATTTATATTTTCTACTTTGCTGCCCCATGTCGACAACTTTTGTTAGAACTGCAAGCCTTATTCTGTGAACATACCCAACTCTCTTCCTACTTGGGTAGCCAACAAAGAGTGGTTTCCCCCATGTTTGACTTTCCTCCTGAGGCTCAAAGCGTGGGACACGTGTCTCCCCTGGGGGGTCCTCCCAGTTCTCCCTCCCTGCAAAGAGACATGATGTCACCATCTGGAACCACATTGTACTTCTGCTCCGCTGCACCTTGCAGTTTGCTTTGTCACTTAATCATTTCTCTGCTTGTCCTCCCTTCTGTTCAAAATGACAGGGATTGTGTTCTACTCATTTCTTAGTGCTTGATAGCATTTAGCGCTAATCTTTCCAAATAATGGATGGTCAATAAGTATTTGTCTAATTAAATTGAAACACAAAACTCTCGCTTTCCCTTTCTTCCCATCACGGGCTGCCCTAGAAGCCTTTCCCTGGTCGGAAATTGAGCAAATTAGCAAATTGCTAATTGGTAAGGAACCCAGGATGTTAGTGACACTGAGGATTTTTTTGACTGCTTTGCCCTGGTTGATGAGCAATACACCGAGAGCAGCTGTGACAGCAGGAGTACCTGGGGCCGCAGGCTACATGGTAGGAGGGCATGAGTGACAGTACGTATCTCTGGGGGGTCACAGAGCTTGGACATGATGGATTCAGCTTCATGAAAATGCATCACTTTTACATGAATAGCTAAATTGAACTGTAGGATAGATTGTCCCACTTGGTTAGATGTGATAAAAAGATTTGTGGACTTGAATGCGTAATCATGGGCAAACATCACAAAGAAAGAAGCCTTGCTCTGTCTACCTGGTTGCCCGTATCAGTTCGTGGTTGTTACTTAGAGTGGAAACATTTTGAAAAATGACCCAAGGGCTTAAACAATGGCCTTCAGAACTCTGTCTTTTTGTGACCACTTAAAATAATATTGCCACTTCAGATGTGTGGACTTGGGGAGAATCCAGAGGAGATGACAGTGGGCCTGAATGAGACGGAGACCTTGCTTCACGCCTAGTACTTCGTTGCCTCTGTGCACAGGGGCATGTCCTGCACTTTCTCTGCTCTCAGGTTGTGGTGCTTCCAGTGAAAGATCAAGATGGTGACACTGTTAAGAGAATGTGGCTGGTGGCTGTGGCTAGCCCTGGTGAGGCATGGCAGGAGCCAAAAGATAGTCTGTATGCTGATGCCTGTGTCTGTAGGAAAAAATGAAATGTTTAGTGTGCAAAATGTTAGATGCTTATTTTTGCCTTTTGTTGTCAACTTTGTTGCTCATGACAAATAGGCTGTTTTGCTCTGCCTGGGACTCAGCACTGAAAATCCCTCAACACTGAGGGAAACTTCTTAGAATCCAGCACACCAGAATGGTCAGTCAACCTAGAACAAACCACAGTGTTTACTCTATTTAATAGACTAGAGGACTGAACTGTATAGATGCAAATAACTGGTAAATCGCCAAGCATGAGTTAAACACAGATCATCTGACTCTGTTTCTTGTTCTCTTTTCTTCATAATATTGAGTATTTTAGGCTGATGTAAACAGTGTATATATTTGGACCTCTTTGGGAAAGTTAATCTGTATTATGATATAGCCAGCCTTGTGAACCATGATTTAACGAACAATCCAAGGTCATAGGTTTGTTTCCTCATTTGTGAAAAGAGGATGGTAATAACATCTATGTCACAGATTTCTTTGAAGGAATAAATAATTTATATGAATGACCTGGAAGCATAACTTTCACATAATAAACTTAAACGTCAAAAAATCAAATAAATTAACCACATAAAAGCTTCTTCATAAGTAAACACACACACATAGAATAAGATCAGTTTGTGATCATGTCGACACAGTAGGAGGATTCCATAGTGAACAACATCCATCATTTGAACAACCTTTCCATGGAGAGAGACTAGTTTGACTGGTTTTTATTTTTTTTTTTATTTTTATTTTTTTTTTATAAATTAATTTTTATTGGTGTTCAATTTACCAACATACAGAATAACACCCAGTGCTCATCCCGTCAAGTGTCCCCCTCCGTGCCCGTCACCCATTCACCCCCACCCCCCGCCCTCCTCCCCTTCCACCACCCCTAGTTCATTTCCCAGAGTTAGAAGTCTTTATGTTCTGTGTCCCTTTCTGATATCTCCCACACATTTCTTCTCCCTTCCCTTATATTCCCCTTCACTATTATTCATATTCCCCAAATAAGTGAGAACATACACTGTTTGTCCTTCTCCGATTGACTTACTTCACTCAGCATAATACCCTCCAGTTCCATCCACGTTGAAGCAAATGGTGGGTATTTGTTGTTTCTAATGGCTGAGTAATATTCCATTGTATACATAAACCACATCTTCTTTATCCATTCATCTTTCGATGGGCACCGAGGCTCCTTCCACAGTTTGGCTATTGTGGACATGGCTGCTAGAAACATCGGGGTGCAGGTGCCCCGGCGTTTCATTGCATCTGAATCTTTGGGGTAAATCCCTAACAGTGCAATTGCTGGGTCGTAGGGCAGGTCTATTTTTAACTCTTTGAGGAACCTCCACACAGTTTTCCAGAGTGGCTGCACCAGTTCACATTCCCACCAACAGTGTAAGAGGGTTCCCTTTTCTCTGCATCCTCTCCAACATTTGTTGTTTCCTGCCTTGTTAATTTTCCCCATTCTCACTGGTGTGAGGTGGTATCTCATTGTGGTTTTGATTTGTATTTCCCTGATGGCAAGTGATGCAGAGCATTTTCTCATGTGCATGTTGGCCATGTCTATGTCTTCCTCTGTGAGATTTCTCTTCATGTCTTTTGCCCATTTCATGATTGGATTGTTTGTTTCTTTGGTGTTGAGTTTAATAAGTTCTTTATAGATTTTGGAAACTAGCCCTTTATCTGATATGTTATTTGCAAATATCTTCTCCCATTCTGTAGGTTGTCTTTGAGTTTTGTTGACTGTATCCTTTGCTGTGCAAAAGCTTCTTATCTTGATGAAGTCCCAATAGTTCATTTTTGCTTTTGTTTCTTTTGTTTTCGTGGATGTATCTTGCAAGAAGTTACTGTGGCCAAGTTCAAAAAGGGTGTTGCCTGTGTTCTCTTCTAGGATTTTGATGGAGTCTTGTCTCACATTTAAATCTTTCATCCATTTTGAGTTTATCTTTGTGTATGGTGCAAGAGAGTGGTCTAGTTTCATTCTTCTGCATGTGGATGACCAATTTTCCCAGCACCATTTATTGAAGAGACTGTCTTTCTTCCAATGGATAGTCTTTCCTCCTTTGTCGAATATTAGTTGACCATAAAGTTCAGGGTCCATTTCTGGATTCTCTATTCTGTTCCATTGGTCTATGTGTCTGTTTTTGTGCCAGTACCACACTGTCTTGATGACCACAGCTTTGTAGTACAACCTGAAATCTGGCATTGTGATGCCCCCAGCTATGGTTTTCTTTTTTAAAATTCCCCTGGCTATTCGGGGTCTTTTCTGATTCCACACAAATCTTAAAATAATTTGTTCTAAGTCTCTGAAAAAAGTCCATGGTATTTTGATAGGGATTGTATTGAACGTGTAAATTGCCCTGGGTAGCATTGACATTTTCACAATATTAATTCTGCCAATCCATGAGCATGGAATATTTTTCCATCTCTTTGTAGTTTGACTGGTTTTTAAACTTTCCATGAAGGAATTACAACTTCATTCTTTTACATAAAGGAAAATAACCCTATATTTTTGCATCTAACCTGTCTCTTCTGTGGTCTAATAAAAATCTTTTCCTTAGGGAGATGGAAAAAAAAACCAGTCATCATCTGCCATAATAACTATTTTCATGCATTTGGGTAGAGTCATTTCATCCATGGCATTCAATTATAGTAGCCTCTTTTCTTTGTCTCTTGAATTTTCTTTTCAAAGATTCCTCCTGATGTTAGCTTTTTGTAGTTTTCATTCAAATGGTGGAGGGTTTACAAAATAGCATGGCTCCAGAGGGCCCACTGAACTGCAGCCACATGGCCCCTGAAGCAGTGAGCCTAGTAGTCACAAGGGAAGGCTGTGGATTCAAATCTCAATACTATCACTAACCAACCACGCGATATAGGGCCTTGTCTCAGGTTCCCAATCTGAGTTAAATATAGAGTTTTTAATGAAAGCTAAATAAAATAATCCATTTAGGAGGTTTAGTCAAACACCCAGAAGTTTCTTTAAAGCTTAACTATATTTCCACTGTCATCTGAGAACTTACACAGTTGGCATTTAAAAGGAAGTTTTTGATTGTGGGAAATCTTGAAGCTCGAGGTTATTTGGAGAAGGCAGTAAGTCATCTATGCAATAACCCACCATGAACCATTCTTTAGTAAGCTTGCCGAAATTAATTACTAATGTACACTAGCTGGATATCCATTTCAATGCCTTCACCATCTGTGGAAAATGAATATTTAGGTCCAGGGAATTTTGAGTAGGTATGTATGAGGCAACTTTGGATGCTACTTCAACATAGTTAATGAGGGCATTTGGGCTGGGCTACAGGTATGGTATATTACTCAGTGCAATAGTACTACTGCTGGAGTGTAAGACCTTAATGCCTCTATTGAATATGTATTCTCAGGAGAAGGAGACAGAAAGAATTATTTAAAGAGTCCTGGGGTGCACAGAATAAGGTAAGTTTTCTCAGAGCTGTCATTTGCCCCCTTTTCTGCATTATAATATCCTGTAATGTTGGTCCATTTTGCAGTCAACAACCTTACTGTTCTCCTTTCAATTACCTGGCCATGTAGTGTATCAGCTATTTGAGGAAACACCTGTTTTCTGACCTGTTCTCTTGTTATCGATGCCCTTTGAAACAATTTGTTTTACATGAATACAAATAAAGTTCCAACTGCCGGGACATCAGAATAGTCAGCCCTGTGGATTACCACTATGTGTATAAGTTTCTTAGGGCTGCCACAACAAACCTACTACCAAGTAGGCTATTTAGACAGCAAGAATCTATTCTCTTGCAGTTCTGGAGGGTTGGAATCCAAAATCAAAGTCTCAGCAGGATATGTTCCCTCTTGAGATGAGAATCTGTCCTATGCTTCCCTCCTATCTTCTGGCGGTGGTTGGCAGTCCTTGGCATTCCTTGGCTTCTGGATTCATCACTCCAATCTCTGCCTCTGTCTTCTCATGACATTCCTCAGTCTGTGTAGACACATGCACATCTGTATCTCTTCTCTTTTTAGGAGGGCAGCTGTGCTGTTAGACTAAGGGCCCGCTTACTCCAATATGACCTCATCTTAACTAATTATATCTGCAACAACCCTACTTCCAAATAAGGTCATATTCTGAAGGTCTAGGAAGGACATAAATTTTGGGAGGACACCACCTGACCTAGTACAGGGCATAGTAATGTTTTAGGTCATTAGGCATAGCAAGCATATTAGAAAAACACAATGCTATGCTATGATATTCATTATCATTATTATGTTTCTATTGATTTATTAATTAAAGAATGCTTGAATTTCTGTTGGGCTGAAGGAGTCTCATGAATTGTAACATTTTCTTCCTCACTCCACCTTCCCCTGCTCCTCGTTTAATTGAAAGAATAGAAAATCTCTTCTGGACTTGCAGATAAGAGGTTGCTTATTTTCATGCTCATTGTCTCCACTATTAGTCAGATTATCGCTTTAACATATATTATTCTGTTTGCAATGTTTTGAAAAGATATTTTATTTTTTAAAGATTTTATTTATTTTATTTTTTTGAGAGAGAAAGAGAGAGAGTGAGATCATGAGCAGGGGGGAAGCGTAGAGGGAGAAGCAGACTCCAGAGGGATCCCAATTCAGGACTCGACCCCAGGACCCTAAGACCATGACCTCAACCGAAGGCAGAAGATTAACTGACTAAGCCACCCAGGTGCCCTATTTATTTTATTTTAGACAGATAGAGATGGAGAGAGGGAGTGGGGGAAGGGGTAGAGGGAGAGAGCCTTCAAGCGACTTCCCACTGAGCATGGAGTCCTACAGGAGACTTGATCCCACAACTGTGAGATCATAGCCTGAGCTGAAACCAAGAGTTAGATGCATAACTGACTGAGCCACCTGACCGAGCCACTGCCCCTGTTTACAAAATTTTACACAAAACATTTTCCCAAGTGTTATCTAAAATTACATCCATTTCTCTTGAATTTAATTATTTGCAATTGAATTCTGCATGGTCAAAACATCAAATAATAAAAAGCTTCTAACAATCTAATATGTGTGCTTCAGATTTCTCTGTTACCTATTTATATATTGGTTTAACTTGTTTCTTCTGATAATTTTTATACAACAAATTTTTTTTTCTAAAGAATTCATGGCTGGCTTTTTGATAGTAACTGGAAAGACTAAAGAAGTCTTGCCTTGTTTCATCTGCTGGTCCAGCAAGCAATAAAACGGTCCTCTGTCATACACAATTTTGGGCTCCCTTCTTTGTCTTTAGCTGTTGTCCACTCACACCAATCTAAAGCCACATTTACTGATGTAAATGTCAGAGGAAGAATGGAGCTTTGCAACTTCCCACATTAAGTATTCAAGTTTTTCAGACTTTTGTAGAATAATATTTTGAATGATGATTACAAAGTTAGATAATAAGTTGGATGTGAAAGAGAAAGAAGCTAGACCTGCTTGATTGTTTTGGGGTTTTAGACAGGCTATGGAAGTACCAGTGACATTGCAACTTTGCTTGTGCTTTATCCCTGCAAAACCACTCTCAATTTCCAAACTACTCGCCAAAAGACCCCTCTCTCTTCTTTTCCTCTCAATCTCTCTCTCTCTCTCTCTCTCTCTCTCTCTCTCTTAACTGCCTACAGATTTTCTGCCACATGCATATATATAAGTGGTCAAAATGACTTGAATAGTGTAGAGAATGTTAATGATTATATAACATCATCTTGAAAGTAATGCCAGTTTATTTTAATTTCTCTTACTGTGTTTAGTTGTTTACTGTCAAGACAAGATTGTGTACTTTAAAAGTATTGTTTATTAAAGCATTTATTCAACAGAAATTATTGAGTACCTACTATGGGAAGTACTGGACGACTTCCATATAAAAATGAAAATAATGGTTCTTATCAAAACAGCCTGGGACATTGGGGCAGAGTTTTAAGACTAAGTGTTTCATAATCTAATATAGCAAGTGACAATCTAGAGTAGTCTTTTGTTGCATTGCACTCTGAGCCCTGCAAGTAAAAAACGTGATTTCTCATAGAAGTTCAATACAATGAAGAGAATCTTTTATGAAATTAATTATAATAGAAATCTGACTTACATTGTGGTTAATTTAAGGAGAGATTTGTTTTGAGTATATTTACTGGCTGCTGAAATGAAGTGAATCATTGAAATTCTGTCTGTCTTTCTAGGCAGGCAACAACTATAGAAATCCCAACCCTACCAATCAAACGTCGGATGGTGCCACAGAGGATGTTTATGTCAACTACCCAGCCTTCTCTCATAGGCCAAAGACCAGAATCTAAGCTTTTTTCTTGATCTAAGCAAATTTATGATGACTGTTATGTATGTGAATCTTTATATAATCTTTTCCCACTATTCAGTGCCTACCCTGGATACCAGTTGACTAAATGTATTTAATTTGAAAGGAAAAATACTTTATAACCTAGAGAACTTTCTTAGCAGAAATGTTTCAGAAAATATGACTCTAATTAGCTTACAATAAAGGGAAACTTACGGAATCACATAATGGAACAATCCAGGGGAGATCAAACTTCAGGCAAATGTTATTTACCAAGGTTTAAATGTCATCTCTAGAATTAAGTATGGGTATAAACCTGTTTCTGGATCCCCTTTCATGGTGTTGGATACACTTTATTGGTGTTAGCCTAACTCTTATACACATGTTTCCGTTGTGTTTTGAACAACTCCTGGCAATTCATAATCCTTGTTTTTGCCTTGTTAATTCTCTGATAGAATAAGTACCTTTGGTCATTTGTCCATCATTAAACAGGCATCATGGCTGGAAAGAATGAAATGGTTTAGGTCAATGAAGGATCCACCTCTAGAACCAGGAGTTAGGCCAAAGCACATTACTGGGAGATTCAGAGTATCATTAGAGGAGGGAGATGGGGCCTGGAAGCTGGGCTGGTGACCAACAAACGTGGACTGCAATGACATTCCAGAACATCTCTTGTTAACCAATTAAAAAGAGAATATGTAGATGGATCTGGGTTAGCTCTCTCCCTCCTCACTTTAAAATCTGCTATATCAGCAGAGTCCAGAAGAGTAGCTGGCAGCAAATAAATGAATGGTCAAGAGGAAGATAAATGTGATAGGGAAGTCTCATCCCTTTTTATTATCACATGAAGTAATTTCTGATTTTACATAGAATTCTTGCACTCTCCCTGGCCTAGCTTCATGAGCAAGTATGGTAGATGATGGTCCAATAATAAGTTAAGGTTTTTGATATTTAAATTTTCCACTTTTGAGAATTATTTTTGTTATGTAAATCCTCTCAAAAGAGGCATCTAAGCATTATTAGTTGTTTTTTTCTTAAATAATTGTGGAAAAAAATAATTGTGGAAAATCTGAATATAGGAAAGAGAATATTAGTTGGAAGTGTGGTTTCGGTTGTGGTAGAAACATGATGGGGAGGAACATTGGGAAGCTAAAGGGAAGGGGAACAGGGAACAAAGAATGGGAAGATACAGAGAGAAACTTGTCTTGCTCCACAGTTTAGCCAAAGACAACCCTAGTGATATCACTACAGAGCAATTAGTGGCCATGCTGCCATTGTCCAAATTCTAGATGGAGTCAAACAATGAAAAGTATTTCTGAAGCTAAATAATGGTCATGATCACTTTGAAAACTCGAATGGTCATTACTAAAGACAGTGATCATTCATGTCTCAAATATTTGTTACGCATCACTAAAACACTCACCACGGAAATTGCATGTAAGTATCCAACTTGAAGATTTTTTTGATAATTTTAAGTGAACCAAAACCAAATTCTCATGTTATCTAGGAAGATTCTAAGCTGTAATTTACAGTTTTAAGTGAGTCAGTGTATGCTTTATGACTATAGCTTTAACTGTATGCCTGCCCAATAGCAGTTATTCTGTGAGTTACAGAAATTATGAGTGCTCCTGCTTTCTTCAACAGAAAGGAAAAAGGAAAAATGTCTACTTCTCATGAGGTATTTCCAGATTCTCAGTGACTAATCTGGGTGAGAAGGAAAACATGTCTCCCAACGCAATATGGGGAAATGTAAATCCCACTTGAACAGGGAAGATGTTGGGGGATGGGGGAGTGCACAGTACAACCCGATGCAACTGTCCTGGTGGTTTCACTCATGGAAGATGTTAGCAGCAGAGCCTCCAGAACATTTGAACCCTGCCTCTTTTTCCATGGATGTTTTAATTTTTCTTTAATCTGTCACTCAGAATATTTACGAGGACTATATACTCTGTCCGTCTTCTTTCTGTATTGTTCCTCTGCAAAGTTTAGGATTATTCAGGCATTTGGGACTCTTTTAAATCCTGGAATTTCTTTGACCTCCCCCCACCCCTAGCTACTGGTCTTATTTCACTCTCAGGTGTTCATGCTGATGAAGTTTTGCTCACTAATTTTCTTTGGACATCTTTACCTATTAGCAAAGCACTTTCATTGTTGTCTGTTTAATATTCTTAATTTGCTAGAGTTTTGTAACTCTATACACACATATATATCTACTATATAGATACTACGTGGTATATACAGTATATTGTATGTATGTGTATTACACTCACACATATATATGTACATATATATATATATATATTTCCCCCTAATCTGTTGTACCCACTATTCTGGTTGTTACTAAGAAAACAGTTCCATGGGATAAAAAGTCAGAATTGAATTAAATTATGTTTTAAATCTTGTTTGAAAGGTGCTACTTGGGGGACAAGATGCTTCCTAAGATTGTTTTTTATGTACATAATTTATGATGATATATATTACATTAAAATCTGTGTTTCCTTTGAATGCCATAACTGTAAATTTGAATATTTACAGTAAGGTAACTAATTAAAGGGAATTGGTAAGTGATGTCAAGTTAGGTAAGTTTGTTAAATGTCATTATAGAGTGTACAGTTTTGTCAGGGAAAGGATATATGCCATTAACCTATGATGATTAGATATTGATTATATTATCATCAGAGAAACCTTGAGATATTACTTAAAGGCCTTTATGTACACTGCAAAAATAGAATTGAAATTTCACTAGCTTGTGATTATGCTTATGGGTGCCAGACAGTAAATGAGGCTATATTCTTTAGTTAGTAAATACTAAATTTATAGGATTTTTAAGTAAGTCAGTTTATTACTAAAGTATTATACATATAAATTTAAAATACATTGGTTATAAATTTACAAGACAAAGGAAGATAAAAGTAACTTTAGTAAGTTGACTTTCATCGTAAATATTCAAGTTATGTTGGCTTATATAGAACTATCTTAAATTACACCTACAATACAGTACTTTCCAAATTGGTAGAGCCACTTTGTAATTAGAAATTGCTGTAATCAAAATGCTTCTCCTTGATTTGTAATAATGTGCTATATTCTGTACTGCTTGTATGAGACTTCAGCAAGATTGGAGGTATTGTATGCTTATAAAGTTTAGGTGGAGGCACCAAATTGTGAGTGCAATGTTTAACTTCTTTCCACAATAGTGAAAAAAAATCTTTGAAAAGTAAAAAGTGATGCAAACCTATCACACAATTAAGTATCACCATTAGTTTCACTATAATTAGAACATAGTGTCTATAAAGTGTCGACATTCACATTCAGGCTTTTGCATAAATTAATATATTTTTCAACTGGCCTTTTCACTGGAATTATTCTAAGTCAAGTCTCTAGGCTCTAACATATTTATCCGAAACATATAAACAAGTATTTTAAGAGACGTTTCTATTGCTGGTGATGCATATGTAGAACTGTGGCTTCTGGAATTCACTGCAATGATTTCTAAGGGAATTTTACAAATCTTCAAGGTTGGTTTAGATATTATTTCAGATTCAAAGCACCAACTGTGTTGTAAGGTATAATAAAAGACGTAATCTGAGGATATGTGTGATAAATGTCTGCAATAATTCCCATTTATTGCCTACTGTCCCTGTTGAGTTATAGGAATGATGAGTTATATAGTCACCTTGTTTAGAACATTTTTTCCAATTTTATGTGTAATTTCAGATGCTCTGGCTTTGTAGGGCATGCAACGTACTCGACATACTGTATTCTGCTGTTTGAATGAATAAAGTGCAATGTTTCACTATCATTAGTTTTACTTGCCAGCAAAGAATATTAGAGGAAAAAGTCCTCTAGAATCATATTAACATAAAGAGTTAAATGCAGGAAAATTCAAACCACTGATGCTTTGTTACTTCTATCTCAATGCAACATTCAGTGTGTTTTCTAGGTGCATGTAGTTCAAACTCAAAGTGCTATACAAGGGTTTTTGTTAAAAAAAAAAAAAAAAAGAAGAAAGTTTTTTCCTGCCCTTTTCATTTTCCCTCCATTGAGATGACAAATTTCACTTCCTCCAATTGTTATACTTCCTTCTACTTTTCTGAATAGCATGCTTATATTACTACTGGATTAAAAAAAATAGACATTGATGCAGAAGCTTTCCTCTCCACAAATTCACCACATATGCATACATTTCTCATGTGCCCATCCTTCCAAAGTATTTGTATTAAAATTTGATTATTTCAATGTTTGGTGTTTATGTCTTTATGACTTTGCCAAAACTCTTCTCAGTTAAATCAAATTGTAAAACTGAGCTTTGTGCAGTGGCAGTATCATAGCCAATGAAGTTTATCCGAGGAACGAATATTGCTAATTGAAACAAATGATAAAAATGATCTTGCTTTCTCTCCTACAGAACTTGGGTTTTCACCTAGAGCTAATAATTGTCTCTTTTTACATTAATAGTTTCGTATTTACCATAAATTTATCTTAAACTCTTCCCCAGTGACCTAGATAATCTCTCTAGATTCTCAGTGATGAAGCAGATGTTTCCAGCTATCTTCATTTCCTGAAAAAGTTACCCTAGAACCTTGACTTGGGTCATTAAGCCCTGGTTCTTCCTGCATAGCTGCCATCCTCTGTCTCCCTTCAGAAAAAATAAAGAGAAAGGAGCATAAAACCTGGAATCAATTCTAGAAAATGTCCTAGTACCAGAGGATATGAGGTTCCAGATGGCGAACGTTTACCCAATGCCCTGAGCAAGGAACAATAAGAAGCCTATGTAATATTTAGACTTGTGTCTGAAAGAGTTGGAGCTCTTGGTTCTTATCTTTGGAAGCTGATGTTGACTGTTATAGAAAACCAGTTAATTTATTTGAGTGATGTGATATGGGTGACTTATAACAGCTCTAGGGCACAATCCTTGGAAAACAGGTAGAAAATGTAGCAACTCCAGGAGTCCACCAGCAGGAAGACACTTGGAGCTCAATACTTTGGCGAGAACACTGCAAACCCACGTACTGCACATGTGGACAAGTTCTGAACACCACTTTTTAAAAAAGATTTATTTATTTATTTATTTATTTATTTATTTATTTATTTATTTGAGAGAGAGAGAACAAGCAGGGGGGAGAAGCAGGCTCTCCACTCACCAGGGAGCCTGATGCAGGACTCAATCCTAGGACCCCGGGATCATCACCTGAGCCAAAGGCAGATGCTTAGCCAACCGAGCCATCCAGGTGTCCCTCTGAACACCACTTTTTTATTTGCCTCACTTGTTCCAGAAACAGTGCTCCTTGCATATATATCAGTGAGGAGGTATCCTTTAGCTTTCAGAGTGGCACAGGCAGGGTATAACTTCTTTTCAAATGATATAAAAATACCATATTCTTCCCAGGGTTGGCTGCTAAAGAACTTTTACCACTGACAGATGTCTCTACTCACTAGGTGGTAGTTTCCTAACGGCATGTTTTAGATAGACTTTAATATAAATTCAGGATCTTCTAGATTACCTGAATATATTACAGGTATGTCCAAATATATCCAAGATTACTTATGAATGAGTTGGTGAACAAACAAATACAAGTTACAATCCATATCAACACTCCCAGCTAGTAGTACTGGAATCGCGGCCAACAGTTCATTTTTAATAATGTTACTGAGATTGGATATGGGTGTTAGGGTTCACCCACCTCCCCAAGAACAGAGCTATCACATATTTTTCTTGACTTTAATTTTAGTGGAGCCTACTGATTTTTAAAACTAGACGGGTTTGTCTTTACACAAAATATCAATTTCTTTGTAACATAAAACCTCCAAAATTCCAAGTAAGAAGTTGGCCTTTGTTTATTTTTTAATGGAAAACTGTTAATAAAATATTTAAATACCACAAAATTATACTAAGTACCACTTGACCTGCAGAAACAAACACTGAAGAAAGAAAACAATCCGTAGACAGTGTCAATCTTATAATGTGGCCAAAGAAGTGGAGGTCCTTTCTGGTTTAAAATATACCCGAGTCTAAAATGTCAAGCAAAATTCTCCAAATCCTGGGAGAGAGATGCCAAATTATATTTGTAAGACAAAAATTTAAGAATCTCTGATAGCTTTCTGCACTCTTTAAAATTTAACCGATTTTTAATTTTTCTAGAAATTTATTTTTAAGACAATCTTCTTATTCAGTCACCTATTCATTGGAACCTTTATCCCAGGTATTCAAAAGTATTTCTAGAGAATAACACCATTTTTCTTTAATCAGATGATTGGGTAAGATTTTGAGTGCTCCAATTTACTCTCAATGTTATTAAAATTTGTTATTACAGCCTTTGGTGTGTCTTTGGTCTGTGACATTCGCAAGTGTTTCTCCAGTGGAATTCCTTCCCTCTTCTGCCCCCTACTCCTATCCCTGGTTGTTAAGCCTTCAAATCCATTTCCATGAAGGCCTGGCCCCTGTTGATTATGCTATTATTACTACTTTTTAATTTCTTAGGTGAGACAGGAAGATCATAGGAGGCCAGACTAAGTTTGAGACCTGAGCTCTGGCAAAGTCCTTTCCTCTGGAGGGTAGGTAGGTCTTTATTAATGAGGAGGCTCTTGGCATATTTCACGATGGTGATCTTGCCCTTCCCTTGCCAGAGCCATGAGGGGACTTTTCTCAGGTCCTCATGGTGAGAATCTGGTGGGTTTCCTGGAGGGAAAGCTCAAGGAAGTGTGGGGTCCTTCCCAGGCCACAGCTGCCATGACTTTCTCCCAGTCGTATTACCCACAGTTATATGTCAACAATTCATCCAGCTCACCATTTAAGTGTTCCTCATAGTTTGTGGCTCCGGTGCTTCAGATCTGGGTAAGGAGATATTGGTTGCTGTATCTCTCTAGATGTGTCTGTTTCTGCAGATTTGGGGGTTTGCCTTGAAATCTCAGTTCTCTTGTAGATACAAGAGAAGTCACCAATTTTTAATCTGATCAGTTTTTTTCTTGTTGTAATCAAGGCAGTGACATCTTCCAAGCCCTTTATATGTTAGCATTGAACCTGGAAGTCC